AACATCCCAGGGTTATAGTAAGGATCAACTGAATTAACATAAGTATTTTGCAAACCTTAAAACACAACTATAACACTAGCTATTATTAGTACATTTCTAGGAGCAAGGCAATGAAACAAGGATTTTTTTTTTAATGGAGTCCCAGACCTAGTAGAGTTTATAATCTAAAAAGAGATTTGTAACACAAATATAAATAACTAATGTAACAAAGGAAGAAGGAAAGAAAAGAAAGGAAGGAAGGAAGGAAGAAAGAAAGAGAAAATTAGAATTTATGAGCAAAAGAAAGGAGAGCTAAACAAACTGTGAATTAAGATTAAAGGAGTGTGAAATCACTTCCAAGAGGAAAAATCAGGGCTAGGGCTGGTACCTGACTGAAAGGAAGAATGTCAAAAAGTAGAAGTATGAGAGTTGGGCTAAGAAAATTTAAATAAATGTTAGTCTAGGCTTTCCTGGGTGAAGGAAAGTACTATAAAAACTACTCTGTATGTCTGGATTACTAGAACCTTATTGATTATCTCTGGGATGCTGATTTTGAGTAAGCCTTGGCATGGAATACCAACTCCACCTTGGATTTTGAGGGGCCTCTTGCTTACTCAGTTTCCAGGATGATATTTTTGGTTTAAATTTGACAGAGGGCAGCAAAAACAAGTCTTGTCTATTATTTTCTGACTATAGGACCTAGCATAAATATTTGAGGTTTGTTTGTTTTTTGTTGCTGTTGTTTTAATCTGTAAGGATAACCAGTGGCCATGCACTTCTAAATCTAAAAAACAAACAAGGTCACTGAAAATAAGTTTCCAAATGAAAGGGTGGAAGGAACATTTCCATTGTTATCTCAAAATAAATAATAACATGGTTTTTAAGTAAAGCCAAATGCACCACCTACTCTGTAATGGATGACTACAAACTATCTATTTTCTCTCCTCTTAAAAAACTAGAAATCCACACTCTCACAAAATTTCACACACACTGCTTTTTTAAACCAGCTGCTTCAGTCCTAGGGTAAAGAAAATCTGCTTGGGTTTTCCATTGTGGTGACAGAGCCCAAGTCAAACAATTAAAAAATACACAGTTGTTGGTTGTATGAAAGACAAAAACCTACATTCCTTAAGCTTTGTAGACCAATTTTCATTGAGCCCATTGAACAGAATGTCACAGATACACACTCCAAAGCCTTCAAAGCCACAGTAATAGGATAGCAGTGATTTAAAGGGGAACCTGGTGTTATCCATAACGACACACAATATTACTAATTACAGAGTGATTTTACCAATAAATATTTTGGTCAGGGACTGCTTTGTCATCACTGCAACCAAGTATTTTTAGCCGAAAGCAAGTGGTTGGGCAGTACACGTAGACATGATTCTGGTTTTTAAAAATCTGTTTTTATATTCTGGTAACTGGGTAGTTCTCTGAACTCTTTTTTCTTGAGAGCTGGTAATTTGGAAACAGCAAACCACAAAAATGTGAAATGCAAAAGACCAAGCCACCCTCATGTCCGGAAGCTGGGTCAAAACTACCCTTAAAACCTTGTCCTTATCTTACCATGTAGTGGTTCCCAGGATAATAAACAGTGGGGTCCATACAAAATCAGTCACACACCAGTAAAAGTAGTAAATGCTGACTAGTGTCAGGAGGGGAAGGGGTAGCTGACTATTCTAGTTTTGCATCTGCTAGGTTCGTGCCATTCGATATTCTTCTCCAACCCCAGATCTAAAAGCAGTAACTATTCATGGAGATGAAGTTCTATAGATAATGTCACTGAAGGGTTATGTGTATTTATATACACACATACACATATACATATATGCATACGTACATACATATATGCATATGTACGTACATATACCTATATATACACACACACATATATACACATATACATATACCTATATATACATACATATAGATATACCATTATGTCTTTAAGCAGCAATAAATTTTATATGAACTAGCTTTTACTTTGCTGAAATTCTCTCTTTGAAAGAGGCTATGCTCCCACTTTCCTATCAGGTACTTTTAATCTTTTAAAACGAGCCTCAAATCTAACAGATAACTCAGAAGTTTTCTAAGCTGGTTACCCACCAGGACATTTTCCATTGAAAGTCTTTGCACACAGTGCTCTAACTACCAAGACTAGAGGTGAAGATTAAAGGACTATTATGTCTAGGTCGTTCTTAAAAAGGGGATGTATCGAAAGGAAAGAAACTGTCTTCCCCATTACCCTAAATGAGCAGTCTCTTGTTCTCTGCAGTCCTTCTGCACACAAGACCACTACTGACTTCAGTGGGAAATCTGCCCAAGAAGTGACTGTGAGACTGGGTAGGATTAAATTAGCCCTAAATCCATGCCATTGTTCCAAGGTATTACAACATACACAGCTCTCTAATCGGCCCAAAAGAGTGACTGAGAATAGATATCAGAGGTTTGGGGGTGGGGTCTCAAGTTGGAATACAGGGGCAAAGCATGGACAGGTGACAGTCTAACTATTCAAGTTGGTGTCAAACTTAAGAGCCTGATTGATGTGCTTGGTTGGCCCTTATCACAATTCAAGATTGCATTGCAATTCAGCCCCACCAGTAGCCCAAACAGCAGTCTAGTGATTCGCCCAGAGAAAAGGCTGAAAGGGGAAACTGAATAGGATCAAGCAGTATTAGTTTCTCTGGACAATGTTTGAAATCTTAAAACTCTGATGTACAGAAATCGACTCAGTTTCCCCTCATGTGCCAAATCATGAAGGACTGCCGCAGAACAGAAATACTGTTTCTTGTCAATTCTTAGAATAAAATGGAGACACAGAAAGCAAAATGGGAAGGAAGGACTTTGTAAAAAAACAAAGGCAAAAAAAGAAAACCCAAGAAAGGAAAATAAAAGAAAATGGAATTAGTTAAGCAGGAAAAAAAGGTCAGAAGAGTGTAAGCAGAATGAGAGAGAGAGAGAGAAACATAGAGAAAAAGAGAGAAGAGAGTGCTTTACTCTTTCCACAATGCTTAGAGAAAAAAGGGGAGGGGAGGAGTTAGTTTGAGACTTCAGAGACCAGGCAGCCCAATCCACTCATTTCACACACAAGGTTTAATAACTGCCCAAGGTCACACAGCCAGTTTCACGATAAAACAGGGACTAGAACTCAGGTTTCCCAATAAAAAGAAGCTGGTGCAATGGGAAAATCAACAGACGGGGGAAAAAAAAAAGGCCTACACACATACTCTTTTAGCTCACTCACTGAAAACTAGGAAAGGAAGTTATGATTCTAACTAATACAAATGATGAAATTATTAAAGTTCCACACTCATGATAGTCCCCAAAACACTGTTCCCGCTCTGTGCAAGAGCTCTTCTAACTTAACCAAAAAAATCTGACCTCAAGAGGAGGTCAGGAGCCTTGGGAAGCATAATGATTTATGCCCCACCACAGTCAAACATCTCTTCTATTGGGAAAGCAAGGAGAGCTGGGGACAGCATTTTTGCAATTTGGCATCCTGGGATTACCACACTGAGAGTAACCCACAAGTGCTCAGACTGCAGTAAGCCCATACTGAGTACCTGAAAACTTAACAGCATAAATGTAACGAATTTTATTAGAATTTAGGTTATTGAAAACAACGCAGACAGAATTCGAGACAGACAGGAAAGCACTCCATTAATAAACTGAGTCCCAGAGACACCATAATTTGCCTACGGTTCTGTGACACAACTAGCATTTGAACTCAGCTCTTCTCACCCCAAATTCAGCAAGCACTAATTGCCTCAACTTTGGAATTTCTAGTGGTCTACCCTAAGTCCTGACCTTCCTATAACTTCCTTGCCCTTAACTTTAAAAAACTTAATGCTAACCCTTTCACTACCCCCAAGGGAGTCTTTCTTCCTTGGACAGGAAACGTTGAAAAACAGAAGACTTTTTTTTTTCTTTTTAAAAAATGTGTTCCTTTCTTCATCTGCTCTCTCCCTGGCTTCTTCCACTCTCCATCCAAGGACTGTGGTGAGGCAAGAAACCGTATGCCTTAGGTGAGGGCAGGGGCAAGTCTGTAAAAGACTTCTCTCCCGGGAGGCAGGGTCTGTCTTCTGCTTAGTGAGGTTGGTAGGGGCATGGGTGCAGGGTGGCAGCTGCTGCTGCTGCTGCTGCTGCTGCTGGCTCTGCAGCTTCTCTCCATATTCTCCCCAGTGACTCCCTGGGCCCAAGCCTTAGGAGCCCCTTCCCCCTTCTTTCACACACACACACACACACACACACATACACACACACTTGTGTATATACACAAATGTAAGAGCCCATCTCCTTTAACACCCACACATATACACACACAAGTGTACATACACTCGAAAGTCACCCTCTCCATGCACATAACACACATATACATACAAGAGCCCCCTCTCTCCGTGCGCACACACACCTCTCCTTACACATACATATGCAAACACAAGAGCC